AAAAAAAAAAAAAAAAAAAAAAAAAAGAGAAAATCAAAGGAAAAAAGATGTCCAGGACATTGTGGAGATCTGGAGATGCAGCAGGAAAAGAAGCAGCTTCATTTCATTGCTATGATATTGGGTTCAGATAGAGTGAACCCAGTGAAATCAGTCACTGGGATTATGGCAGCCAGGCAAAGTGGATTCCAGTTTAATTGGGTCCTTCAACCCATGAATAAACACTCCTGGAAACCCAATTCCCCATTCAACACTTATTTTCATTGAATCCCTTAAAAAAGGCTGGGGTAATTCCATCCCCCATGTCCCACCACCTCATTTTATATTTATTGTCCTTTATAAAATTGCACTCTTAGTTTCAAAAAGAAAAAGGAAAAAAAAAAAAGAAAGAAAAAGAAAAAAAATCATATTAAACAACTTGTGGTGTGATTTATTATGTTTACACCATTTGCCTGTTGCTGATCTTGGGGCACCTCCAGGGACACAAACTCACTCCCTTCCTGTCAATTACAAGTTTTCAGTTGATTTTCTGTTATAAATGGAAGTAATATGTCTCTCCTGGGCTTCCTCTGAGTTCTAAGCCTTTGCTTTCCAATGCATTTTTTCCTTATTTGGTGACTATACATGGATAAGGTATTGGAAATTACAGTTATTACTCAATTTTTATTTGTTTACTACGTCTTGGTTGGCGGCTTCTCTTTATTTTGCATTATTTGATTATTATTTACTGTGCAGTTTCCAACATACTCAGCATGTTCACACTGTTCCAGGCCTTTTGTGCTCAATTAAAAAAATGCTTATAAAATTACCTGTCATTTTAAAACCTGAATTCTTTATGAAATTCAACAATTAAATCACCATTGCCTTTGAGGTTTACCAGGGTCATTTCCTCCTTAAAAAAAACCCAAATTACTGTTTCTAAAGGAACATAATGGGGTAAAACCCACACATTAATTGTTTTTTAACTATGTTTGAAGTCAAGCCTTAAGCTTATGCATGTCTTCTTGGAAATATGGCTTTAAATCATGTTTAAAGAATTTTAGAAATATAGAACTTAAAGTAATGGCACATTTCTTCTAAGTGAGGTGGAAACACTTCCCTGGGAGATCATTTACAGAAGCAGGGTGATTTTACTTCTTGTAAACAGAATTTAAGTGACAACAGCAGTGATGGAAATCCCAGACTGTAATTAAATTCAGGAAGTTGGAAAAGCAGAAGTTTACGGGGGGAAAAAAGGCACACAGACTTATGATCAAAAGGAGTAGGAGAATTCACAAAGTTAATTTTATCCACTATTTGCATAAATAATGCCAGCTCTTGCTCCTTGTCTTCTGGCCCATCATTTTTTTACATCTGCTTAATATCTACCTGCCAGCCCCGTAATTCACACCTAAATGAGACTTCTAAAATAGCCACAAGTAAGTGATGTGAACAATGTTCTTCTGAACCAGATTTAAAATGTTCCAAACTGACTGGATTTGAATTAGCCAAGTGGGTGTTTCCAGAAATAAAGTTGGTAAGAAATGAACATTCTTGATTTTGGGGAGCATGGAGCTGACTGAACAATACTTCAAGGTTTAAAAAGAAAAACCCAAAAATGAAAAAAAACCCAAATAGAAAAAAACAACCATCAAAACATAAAGAACTTTCATGTCAATCACTGATACCCCAAATCCCACTTATTTCATGCATTTCTCAAACTCTGATTTTACAATGTTCTGTAGCAGAGACACAAGGAGAAGCTGAAATATCCTGGAATTTTGTGTCTCCAAATGGCTCTTTGCCTATCCCACACGATGGCACGTGGCTCCTGGAAAACTGATTCCAAGAAACTAATCAGACAGAATTTAGCAATGACAGAAACTGCAATTAAAAACATGGAAATCTGCAGCAAACAGCTATTTTGAATGATCTACCTTAGGTTAAAAGTGGTGGGAAAGTAACACAGATTTTGAGAGGATAATAACAGATTCCCTAATTAAGGCAGAAACCAATTAGTTCATCATTTGGCCCAATTTCAGCTCCAAGTGTGATGAAATGGCAGAAGAGGATGAGCATCATTCAGTCAGGAGGGAGGAGCTCTGAGAGCTCACACTGAGCATTCAGGCTGGGTTTGGTGGGACAACCACTCACAAAAATATCCATTTATCACTGCTGCAGCTCTGGCCCTCTGCACAGGAACCTCTGGGAAAGTGCAAATAAATTACCTAAAAGCAGGAAATTAATTAATGAGGTAAAAGTGCATTAAGGTCCCAGAGGATGCTCTGGGGTGCAAACTGCCCTCACTCACCTCCTTGCAGGCAAATCCTTGGATTATATTGCTGTGGGACTGGGATGACAGAATGTGAGTGCTCCCAGGGGTAGAATTTGTTTTGTTCTACCTGAATTACTTCAAGCTTCTCCTTAATACTTTTCCTTTCTCACTTGGGCCAATTTTCCTGCACTTAAATCATCACCTTGAGCACCCCATCCTCCCCTGGGCCAGCCCCACCACCAGCTGCTCTTGCTGTTACCTCCCCTGTGCCAAAAACCAAGCAGCATCTCCCTCATTTCTTCTGGCAAACGTTAAAGGTTGCTTTAAAAATAAAAATCTGCTGCCCTGGAGGTGTAGGACAAGGTGTTTATGTGCTCCCATAACATATGTGTAACCTGGAGCTTAAAATGTCACGAGGTGCCTCTGTCAGATATGGCAGCATTTTGGCAATGAAAAACCAGGTTAGAGTATTATTTGAGGTAAATTGTACATAATTTCAAGGGTTTAGGGGATGTTCTTGCACATATTCAATGCTTAGAGATTAAAAACTACCCTTGGTATGTGCAGCTGGGAAAAACAAACCAAACCAAGGCTCGGACTGCATTTCCAAGGGGATCCTGAGCTGCTGGCATCCAAGTAGTTCCATCACTGATAATGAAGAAGTCTTTAGCTGCAGTCACACTTCAGAGAACAAACCGGGCTGATATTTACTTTTTGTTCATGTTCTCTATATCAAAATAATGACAATTACAAAACCTCTATAGCAGGGCTTGAACTGTGGCCTCCAGGAGTGATGTGAGACCATGAGATCTGCTTAAAATAGGTGCAGTGTTTTCCCAACCACTGAAATTTCATCTAAGCTCTGCAGAAGAACTCTTTTTGGCTGAATTTTTGTTTATACCAAATGTAAACT